GAAACATCGCCAAAGGCAAGGGAAGCAAGGGCAAAAATGAACTATAGGGACTTCATCAAGATAAAAAGCTTTGCACAGCAAAAGAAACAGTCAACAAAACCAAAAGACAACCGACGGAATGGGAGAAGATTTTTGCAAATGACATATCAGATGAAGGGCTAGAATATATTTTAGAGTGAAAGGTATTATTATTAATAATTATACCAGGACAACAGTGTAAAGCAGGACTTTTCTAGGCAAACGAACACAGTATAGCACCCAAGCAGTTGGTGATGTTGGATACTTCCTGTTGTATCATCTCAGAAGACACTTACTACCTGGTTAACCTACCATTAGTGATTTTAATTGATCACTGGATTAGAGTAATGATGGTCTGATTCCTCCATTGACTAGTGACATGCTCCCCCTTGTGGCTAAAATGTGATCTCTTGGATGTGGCATTCTTTGGCATTTTACTAATATCATTTCTCATCAACCAATTTGTATAACAGTTTTAGCAATATTTGATCATTCTTGCCAGAATTAACAATTTTATTAGGTTTTGCAAAGTGACGTATTTTAATTCTTCCACTCCTACTTGCTGGCATTCCTTATAAAAACAGAGCTTTCATCAGTAAGGCTTGTTTTCATTACCCTGAAATATAGTTTCTTTTAGGAAGGAAGGATAACTTGATTCTTTTAATTACCAATTTTCAAAGGAAGTTGCTGATAAACTTATTTTTAATGTTCAGGCTTTTGCAGCCCAGGAAGATTTGGAAAAGACCAAAGAAGAACTAAAAACTGTGATGTCTGCCCCCCCTCCACCTCCGCCACCACCAGTTGTTCCTCCAACAGAAAATGAACACGATGAGCATGATGAGAATAATGCTGAAGCTAGCGCTGAATTATCAAATGATGGGGTGATGAACCATCGAAGTGAAGAGGAACGTGTAACAGAAACTCAAAAAAATGAGCGTGTTAAGAAGCAACTCCAGGTATTTAAAATTTGCAGTTGTGTGCACATTTATAATATAATTAGCATTTCCCCCATTTATTAAGACAAACTTATTAAGAAGGAACATTTTTTATATTTATATATATATGTATATTTATAGATATATTTATTATGTCCAATTAGCTAACATATAGTACATCATTAGTTTTTGATGTAGTGTTCAGCAGTTCATCAGTTGTGTGTAATACCTAGTGCTCATCATATCACATGCGCTCCTCAATATCCATCACCCAGTTACTCTATGCCCCTCCCTTCAGCAACCCTCAGTTTGGTTCCTGGAGTCCAGAGTCTCTCATGGTTTATCTCTCTCTCTGATTTCTTCCCAGTTTTCCCTCCCTTCCCCTGTGGTCCTCTGCACTACTCCTTATGTTCCACATATGAGTGAAACCATATGATAATTGTCTTTCTCTGCTTGACTTATTTCACTTAGCATAATCCCCTCCAGTTCCATCCATGTTGATGCAAATGGTGGGTATTTATCCTTTCTGATGGCTGAGTAATACTCCATTGTATATATGAACCACATCTTCTTTATCCATTCATCTGTTGAAGGACATCTCAGCTCTTTCCACTGTTTGGCTGTTGTGGACATTGCTGCTATGAACATTGGGGTGCAGGTGCCCCTTCTTTTCACTACATCTGTATCTTTGGGGTAAATACCTAGTAGTGCAATTGCTGGGTTGTAGGGTAGCTCTATTTTTAACATCTTGAGGAACCTCCGTACCGTTTTCCAGAGTGGCTGCACCAGTTTGCATTCCCACCAACAGTGTAAGAGGGTTCCCCTTTCTCCACATCCTCGCCAACATTTGTTGTTTCCTGTCTTATAATTTTTGCCATTCTAACTGGTGTAAGGTTGGGGTATCTCACTGTGGTTTTGATTTGTATTTCCCTGATGGCTAGTGGCTGTTGAAAATTTTTTCATGTGTCTTTTAGTCATTTGTATGTCTTCTTTGGGATAGTGTGTGTTCATGTTTTCTGCCCATTTATTGACTGGATTATTTGTTTTTTGGGTATTGAGTGTGAGAAGTTCTTTTTTTTTTTTTTTTTTTAAGATTTTATTTATTTGACAGTGAGAGAGGGAACACAAGCAGGGGGAGTAGGAGAGGAAGAAGTAGGCTTCCCGCCGAGCAGGGAGCCTGATGTGGGGCTCGATCCCAGGACCCTGGGATCATGACCTGAGCTGAAGACAGATGCTTAACGACTGAGCCACCCAGGCGCCCCGAGAAGTTCTTTATAGAAGAACATTTGATTTTTTTTTTAAGCCTTTACCAGTAGCTGGTCTTGTGGTTGGTTTGTGAGTGCTTGGCCTACAGCCACCTTGTTTAATTTCTTCCATTATAGCAAATGTTTGTTAGCTTTGGGCAATTAAGCCTTAAGTGGTAAGTTGATCTTTAATTATAGCTTGACTCAACATTTAAAAGGTAGGAAGTATTTTAATGTTATCTTTAAAAGACAAATAAATTTAGTTTTTAACTATTGAAGTCTACATTTAAAACGATTGACTTCCTGTATGACATTACTTAATCTGAATTTTTTGTTCACATTTTATAATGGCAAAAGGTCAGTTTATTAAAAGCACATAATTAGATCAAAATAGGAAATTTTAACTTTATTAGATCTTTTTTTCAGATAAGTTCTCTAATTTTTTAATTCGTGAAATCTTCAAATATTAATGAAAAAGTGATGGGAGAGTTTTAATAAATACATTAAGACTTGGAGAAAGTTTCTCTCGTGGCGTAGATTTTATTTTAGATTTTAAAATAGCATTCTGAAATGTCTCTATTGAACGTTTTTTTTGGTAAGTCATTTCAAGTATTGTATGAGAAAATTAAGGAAATGTAGAATAATACACAAAATCATCATGGTTGATGAGTGTAGAAGTGAAAGGCAGTGGGGGTATTCCTTCCTCACCACTACCTCTACTTTGACTACAAGTAAAACAGAGTTACACACTTTAAAGAAAAAGATGCGACAATGGGAATTTGGAATACGAAAATGTTAGATTTGTGGTGTATTTTTGTCCTTAAACTGAAAAACTTTTTAAAATCTACAAAAAAATAATTCATTTTTTTTCTTTTTTAAATATAGGCACTAAGTTCAGAATTAGCCCAAGCCAGAGATGAAACCAAGAAAACGCAAAATGATGTTCTTCACGCTGAGAATGTTAAAGCGGGCCGTGATAAGTACAAGACTCTGCGGCAGATTCGACAAGGCAACACCAAGCAGCGGATTGATGAGTTTGAAGCCATGTGAGAGCTGTTATTTTGCATACATGTTCTTCATAAGCTGAACCACCAACAGAGAAAAGCAGGCCTTTGCAGATGTGATGGAACGCATCCCACCTTGCCAAAGCACTTACACCAGTTGACTGTGGTGGCTAAAGACGTACTTGAGGGGAGCTCTTCAGCATTAAGGCAGTGTGATGTCATGCTTGATTTTCTTTTCCTTTTGGGCCAGGGAGTGGAGGACAGCGTTCCATCGCCTCCTGTCACATTTTTAGTTTCCATTGTTTTTTTTCTGTTGGAGATTAACACTAAGGATCATGTCTGACAAATGTGTATGTGTGATTTCAGCACTTTGTACAGTTCAAAGGATGATGGTGACTTAATGAGTGTTTAGAGTGCTGTGGTTTCTTTTGCCCCTTCCATATTCTGCCTGTGTGTATTTCCACATTCTGTCTCACTCATATTTCCTCGGCGTGCACTTCTCCTATCTTGCTGTGCTGATAGCCATGATTCTGCCATCATATAGATCACTGGTGTGGTTAAAATGAGGGTAGGCGACAGGTTTGACAGTCTTTGATAATTGTGTAGAAGACAGCCATGAATCATGAAAAAGATTAGAATATTTAATAGTGTATCATGCAGCTGGTGGTTAATGTTTTTAAGTCCCAATTTAATTATATTATTGGGTATTTGATATTTGCTTACTTAATTACAGTCATCTTTGAGAGCTGAACTAATTGGTGTTTCATCTCCTGTCATCCTTTGGTTCACAAAGGTGTAGACAGCAGGTAATAGTTAGCCTAGTAGAATTTATTGATGTAACACCTGCAAATAATAATTGTCTCTGGAAGATTAAAAAATCCATTCTTTCATAGACTGATTTAGACAGATGTTTAATTTAAAAAAAATCATTTGGTAATTTATTATAATCACTTAAAAAAAAACCCTGGACCTTTCTGGAAGGGCAGCATATGAAAACATGAGTCCCAAAGAGGGAACAGTAATACTACCTCACTACTACACCTGTGGTGACTGGTTTTCCCACCCAGTGGAGTGTGTAAGCGCTATGTTCTATAATACATACCAGAACTTTCAGTCATGCAAGGAGTATTTCTGAGATTTCTTTTCCTTCAGAATATCTTAGAGTGCTAAATTTTTAACTGCCTTTTTGTTGAGCTTAATTGTGGGACTCTGATTTATATTAAAATTGTAAGCTATTGCTGGTATACTGTCTTCCTGGAGGGGTGTTGTATGTCCGAGGAAGAGAGGGAGTGTGTGTGTGTGTGTGCGTGCACATGCGTGTGCGTGTGAGTGTGTGTGTGAGAGATACTTGCCCTTGTAGCATATGAATGTCTCTACCTTCATTTCTTGATATAATTGTTACATAGTCATTCTAGCAGATTTGGTTTCTAAATCATTGTTTATTTTTTTCATTCTCTAACTAAAAATACTTAAATTTGGTTTGTTAATCCTGTTTTAGAAATTATAATTTTAGGTTATATTGAGTTCAGTTATGTCTTAAGAAATCTTTCCAGTTTGAAAGATGTTCTAATATTCACCTGTTCTAATACTTTCTTTATTGTAAAACATCTAGACTTGGAGATAAGGAAAGCCTTGTTTTCTCTGTGTGGTTCAGCTACTTTTCATTTGGTATTATGCACTCAAATTTACATTTATGTATAAAATTGCCATTTTGTTAAGCATTTTTCATGCACAGTAGATTCAGGTTGTGTCTGAAAATATCTCTTGTGCTTTTTTGATTTTGCTGACTATAAAAGGATTAATCTGGGCAGACATGAAAAGGAAAGGTTTCATTTAATATATTTTTTTGGACTTTGTAGGACAAAAGGTAACTGGTTAATAACCTTGAAGTGACTGTTGTATGGTGGTTGTGCAGATGCTTCAAAACACTGCAGAAGAGAATATTTCTCCTTTTAGCACGTTAGAAGAATAGATGGTGAACTCTGCTTTTCATTCTTTAAAGCATAAGTGTTCACTTTTCCAAAGCATCAAAGCCATTGCCATAATAAGTGACAACTTGGACCTCCATTGGATTTTTATTAATTTTCTACATTTTGAATTGTGTGCACTACCATTGCTACATCAGTTTGATATCAGTGTTGAAAAACTACCAGTTATATTTGCTGTTTATAATCTATTTGTAGATTAGGATTAAAATGGATATAATCCATTTTTAAAGCTGTGTGAATTTTTCTAAACAGGAGCAACTATTTGCAATATGGGTTTTCATAGTGATTAAACCAGTTATAACTCTTATTAGCAGTTGAGAGCACATGTTCATATAGCAATGTAAAATATATTAATGAGTATTTGGTAAATTCCAACAGACTTTTACCATAGCATAATTTTGTGTTGTACAATTAAGTTACAGTTACATCTATAATTTTGGATAACATTCATTGGTTAACAATAAAGTGACAAAAGCTCATGCCTTCAAGGTCCACTGTTGTTATTTAACATGGATTTTTTGTATATTTCTGAAAATTATAATCTTTATTAGACCCATGAATCATCACATCTTAAAAATGAGAAATGGATAGGGAAAAATTTCAAAATCCTCATAGATTTATCTTACCCCAAATTATACCTCTTTTGGTATGGAAGTAATAGTGATTGTTAATTTTGTGAAAAATTAAATTGTTAACTTTCTTGATAACAGAAAATCATGTAGGATTTCCGGTCATTGCTTTAATTGTATATTGTTTATAGTTTCTTTTTCCTAAGGAAGATATAGTTTCATTGTCATTGATTAATCTTGCTATTAAAATACTAATGTTCTTTAAAGAACTATATACTAAGTGCATTTATTTAAATACATATTTTTATTTTAAAGTGACATTACAGTGCAGTTACCATAAATCTAGAAGGTTATTGTCTTTTTAAAAGCTTCTTCCTGATTTTTAACATAAAGATTATTCTTCTTAAATAAGTCATATATCTGTTCTAAAAGGAAAAGCTGGGTGTCTGCTCAGTTTATAGTAATACTTAACTGTCACTTTGTTACTTTTTCTCAAAGGCAGGTAGTGATTTCTTTATTCCAATCCTATCAGAAAAGAAAGGGGAATTTTATAGGATTGCTTTATATCTAATTAGAGTTTTTCTTTAAGAACTAGAATTACCACTTAAAAACGTTATCTTAAGCTATATAGGAACTCTCACTCCTGGTGATCATTAGGAAAGAATTTCAATATTAGTGTTAGGATTAAAAATAAAAAATGCCCACACTTCCTATCTCAATTTTTATTACCTTGTTGATGAGTGATGTTTGTAGAAATGAAGTTAAAAATTTTTTAGATCCAAAAGCATCCCATTCTATGTATGCATGAGATAAACAATTGGTCTTTTTAAAATCTAAAGCTATAAACTTTTAAGCTTTAAGTTTAAGGAATTATAGCCTTTATCATTAATTTGCTGAACTGATTTAGTAAACCAAAATGTAGATATCCTTAAGGATAAGCGAAATCTTTTGAGTAGGGAGCTATCCTGGTAGACCCCTTCCTCTTTTAAGCTTGTTCTAAATGAGTAGAACTTAACCATTTTCTTATTCTGCACTTCATTTTTGTAATTAGAAGATAATTTATTAAATATAGTGGTTTATCATGTAAAAGGACAACACTCTAGTACATTTCAAAAGCTCAGTGGATTCTGCAGATGTCCTGATAACTTCATGAAATGTCAAGGCAATCCACATTCTACATTGGTGGTGAGGAGACCTTGGCTCACATAGTGTTTCACATATTAAAGTTTATCACATTCTCATCCTTGACTTTTCCAATTAAAAAAATCTTAACTCCCATTTTTTCCTAGTGAACCTACATCTTAATACATCCATCTTTCAAGATTTTAGGAACTGCCATTTTCCTTCCAGAAAGATCCTGACTCCTTGCTTTGTTGCCTCAGTATTTTGACTTCCCTTAAATTCTGTGATACAAGAGTTACCTGATTTCAGATTAACATACACTGCTTTAGTAGTTAGAGTACCCATCATTTAACCACAGAATTTTAAGGTTAAAAGTCATGACTGAGATAATTACCCAGTGGCACATCTTTTAAATTCAGGTTTATGTTTGGCTCTGGAGTTTTCCAGATTCCAATTTAAAGACCTTCATTTAGCCACTACGTTTTTATATGCTATACCCTAGGATATGGTAGCAAGATTAGAATGATGGTGACTCTTTGTTTTGGCTTATCTTAAAATGTGGAAGTTCAATACTAATTTATCTTAACCTCTTAGATCACTTGCATTAATCTGATAAAATACTAGATTTCTTTTAAGATGGCAGCATCACTTGGTTGATTCATGTTATTTGTATGCCCAGATTCCTCCGTGCTTATATGAAGTCAGTTGCTTTCATCCATGTATTATTTTTATTACTTGGTTCCAATTGTTCACTTTTATTTAATGATCATTTAAAAAATTAAGCTTCACTTTGATGTTTATGCATGTCATTTCGTTTACTCCTAAAAGTAGTTATACTGGTTTTCGTTGCTGTTGACTAAATCTAAAGAGCCAATGTCTGTCTTCCTAGTGATAATACGGCATCAGAATCTCTGAGATTGATCCTTGGAAAAGTTCCTTTTGATAAAACATGGATTTATTATGTGAAATTCTTCTTTGCTATGTTACAGTGTATGCTGTGATATCCCTTTTAATTTTTCCAAGTTAAAATGTCTTATGTGTTAGACCTAGAAATGCATGTATGTTTTAGACTTAGAAGGCAATACCTCCTCCCTCCCTTTCCTTTGGTTTACACTGAAAAGTCTATGTAATTCAAGTCTAGCACTGGAATCCTATATACCATCACTCCATTTATGTAATTGTTTACTTTAAAATTTTAGCTATTTTGGATAAAAGATAAAATTGTATGTTGAAAGAAACTCCGACATAAAGATGAGTAGAAGAAATTAACGAATAAGGATGAGAGTAAGAATACAGAGTAGAGTTTTTCAAGTTTGCTTATTATCTGATAAATTACTTAATTTTTATTGCATAGGTCAGACTT